CTTTGAAAAAAAAGCTGAGTGAAACTTTGATCTTGATTTTTGGAACGCGGAGGAGATGAGGGTGTTTCGACTTCGTGGAAGTAACAAGTGTCTGAACGAGTGGAACTAAAGAATGGAATGCTCATCTGAACATTTTCCATGGAAATAGCGACAGGGTAGCGATAAGCTTGCAACGTTGCGTCTGTGGGAAAGAGATTGCAGAATGAAGAATAAGACCGCCTCAGCCATTTTGAACTCGATCAAAGCCGCCCAGATATGTCAGCAGTACTCCATTTTTGGTCTAATCTGACTCTTGTAATGATAAAGCATGACAAAAGCAGCTTGACACTTCCTCTAGCGATAAAATGTACTGATCATTTTTCCAGAATCTTTACCATTGCATATATGAGTTACACTTGAGTTCTGGAGAGAATTTGATGCCCATTGTGAGAGAAAAATTATTCACTAGATGATTAAATAATAGATTATTTGAATTTATTGAGTATAAATTGCATTGGTGTAAAGATGGTGAAATCTGTAGTGCGAAAGAGGAGACCTGAGGCAAAAGAAATGGGGTTCTACAGAAGGATGGTGAGAATGCCATGTGAGCAACAAAGAAGTTTTAAAGAAAATGGGAACAAAAATGACACTGTTACTTAGAATCAAGAAGGGATATCTAAAATTTATGAGGCACAAATGAGGATAGAGGGGTTAGAGAATTTGATATTCGCATGATATATTGAAGGAAAACTACCTAACGAGCTTTTCATTAGGATAGGGATTAGCGGAGAACCATGACGGCCCTCGTAAAGGACACGGCACATAATAGAAGAACGATAAATACATACATTTTTTTTTTATCAATTATGCTTATTTCTTATCTTTTGTATATTTCTTATTTCGAAAAAAAAGTATCCTCATATTTATTATTTTATTTTCAGCCGTCCATACTCCAGCCTACCTTGAACGCCATTTTTTTTTAATGTAGAATCTTACTCAGACTGGTTATAATGCATACCATTTTATGCAGGCCATAGCCATAGACTGTGCCAGGACTTTGTCATATGTTGACGCATGCGCTAAGCTAGTGACCTTCCAATGATTTTCAAGTCCCAGAATAAATGGGGGTTGCTGGCAAGTTTAACGGGTTTTTTTAAACGTCACAACTTTTGCGTAGAAATCTGGAGAAGGCCATAGCTAAAGGCATAAGCATAGGCACTGCGTATAAAGTGCGTAAGATATGAAGTTCATGCTCACAAAGAGCAAGATCCAACATTTCAAAACACAATAGCCACACGGAGATGGTCGGAAGGTACGTCACCAAATTATTATTATGAGAAAAAAATCAACCAAATATATGGATTATAAATAATAGTCAATATTATAAATAATATTGCATGATATATATTCCTATATGTTATTATTAGTATTAATAGTAATAATATTAGTCATTTGTCACTCTCGGGAGATGATGGAGATGATTGCTACCTAATCCCTATAATGATTTACTACACGGAGTTTAGGTCTCGCAGGTCTTTTCTCCCCCAGCTATGGTTAAATAGCAGAACAGACTGGGTTTCTATAACCTTGGATGGCAACTGGTCTAACGCAGAAAGAAATGGTAATCTACTACGGTTAAAATTCTGCCTAGTCACTCATGTGTATACACGACCGCCTAAGCGTGTATCAAGCATGGCACATAATTGACTAAGTGATTCTTGGGCTTTGCATTGGGAGATTTTTAGAAAAATTTAGAATTTGGGGAGACTTTGTTACAATATTTTGTTTTCAAAAAGTAGAATCGTCTTCAGCGGTCTGTTTTAGTGGTTTAAACAGAAAAAAATTTTTTTTCATTTTTTCCTGGTCTCATATTGAAGTCGTAAATCTTTTCACTTCTCATTTTATCTATGTTGAAATTCATTCTGAAGCAGAAAATGAATCAATAAGGACTGTTTTCTGCATTAAAGATAAAACATTCAGTTAAAATGATATGTAGGAGTTTTTTTTTGTTTTTTTTTATTTTTTTAATCGGTATCACCTTAATCAAGGCAGTAAAGCCATTAAAACGCACGGGATTCCCGGGAAGAATTAGGAACAGAAACAATAATGATGATCGGAAAAGAGTAATAGCGATTTTTTTGCAGATTAAAGTTGGCTGGAAAGAATGCAGCCGGAAGCGAGTTCCACAAGCAAGAGGTGCGAGAGAAGAAACTGTTAGCATAGAACTTGCAGTTACATCTAGCTATCTTAACTGTAAATTGATGAGATCTCAACGCCAGTCTAGTGATATCGCTTAAATTCAAAAAGATTAGATACCATAGCGAAGAGCTCATCTGAACAATTACTATGAACGTATTTATAGAAAAGGCACAGAGAGGCAATCTTACGGCGGTAGGAAATTGACTGAAGCTGTGCTGCCAGATCAACACCAATAATATTGCTGATTCTTCTTTGGATCTTATCAAGAAGAAAGTGATAGTAAATAGGAGGGGCATTGAACCATATGCGGCAGCCATATTCTACGCATGGGCGAATGGTAGACATATATTAAAATGAGAAAAAAATCGGCGCATGTCGGCAAAGAGAATAAATCTTTCATCTTTATAATACATTCGTCTTGTTTTGATTTGTAATGGTATCGCTTTTGCTACTTCTCGATTTCTTTATTGACTCGCCGGAAGATCCGATTCAGTTTGTCAGGAACCAATCCATTTGACGATTTTTTTAATTTAACTCATGGTCTTTGCAAAAGAAGTTGACTCTGTGTTTTCATCGAAAAAAATAGTTCACATTCTTTATATCAATAGGAAAGACTTTCTAAACAAATTTAGTCATTAGATAGCAATGTCACGAGTGAAACGAGTGAAAAAGAGATGAAATCCCAAGAGACAGTTTTCTAGAAGGAATGACTGAATTCTGGGCGGTAAAAAAAAAATCCGTTCATAAAAACACAAAAACGCGGCATGAAATCTCTCTTTCATCTCCTCTGCTTGTGTATGCTTTTATCTACCTACCTACCTCTCTCTCTCCCTCTCTCTCTCTATCTATCTCTCTCTCTATATATATATATATATATATATATATAGTGTATATTTAGGCAGCATGTTTTTATTCAAACAGATTTTTGTTAAATAATTTAGATATATCATGTCGAGTCGTTTTTTGTTGTGATCCTTTCAAGTTCGCAGATTAATTTCTTGGTAGGCTTAGAAAGTTGAGTAAGAAAAATACCAATATTTTATTTCGAATAGTTTGATTTTCCCAAGTTCTTTCAATCTCATCTGAGGCCATCTTCAGAGGCTTAAGTTGTCTGTGACTATGTATATGAGATTCAGTGAATTTAAAACATTTAAACTGTTCTTTTTTTTTACTGCTTATGTAGTGTCCTAGATTTCAAAGTTCTCTTTATGCTTCTGTTTTTTTTCCAGTATAAGGGAAGTAACTTTTTTGTTTTTGCTCATACGTATATAATTTTTATAAGCATAATGACTTTGTTACTATACGCATACTTGACATTATGTATTTTTGGGGTTTAATTCTCTTATATAAAGGACTTCAATGTTTTTAATCTTTGCTTGTTATTGTTTTTATCCAATATAGATGTATTTTCAACTAATGTCGATCTAATCTGTTACTTTGGGTATGAATGTTCTTTAAGTGCTGATATATTGAGCTATGTTCAGCCAAATGAAAACGTAAGTGTTTTTGTTAGCATCGTCGTAGTAAAGCCAACGTACGTATTGATATTTTTATCAAAAATACAATCTCCCAAAGGATATTTAAATTGATATACAATGTAAGCCTTTTGCAAGATACTAGTTGGCGGAGAGGAGTTGTTTTGGACAACTAGGTTGGTTGTATCAAATTTAGTATAGTATATAATTAAGAAGAAGAAGACTAAACTGTATATTAATAGACCTTCTGATTAAGACATGACGAGAAAGACTTTTTCAGCATGCATTTTAATGGTAGTGTATATATATATGTATATGTATGTATATATATATATATATGTGTGTGTGTGTGTGTGTGTACAAAAATATTCTCCACAAAATATAGACCTTTAATCATCGTCCTACACACATATATATATATATATATATATATATATATATATATATATATATATATATATATATATATATATATATATATATATATATATATATATTTGAATGTTAAGCCTGTAAACTCTTCACAAATTTCAGTGTTTCCATAGCAAGTAGATTTTTAAGTAGTAGACTTTCTTGCCCCACATACAACCGAATTTGAAATAAGACATATACTTTTCCTAGAGCTAGAGAGACAATTTAATATACTCTATGTAACCCCTGGCTATGCGGAGAAGAGATGGATGCATACGTTTTTAGAGGTGCATGTGCGAAAACAAGTGCAACAGTTGCATTGCATCTAATTTCTGCTTGTTATGAATAAGCAAGAGAAATAAAATGAAAGATATATTAGTCAAAAAAATAAATAATAATTGGCAATGCTTCATCTACAAAATTCAGCCATCTTAAGACTATTACATCATAAAAATGTACTTGAGTCCGTTTTAACCGAATGTCGAAAATAAATCACATCTCTGTTCATGCGGATAAATGGAAATTATATTTTTTATAAACACTTCTGTTAAAAAAAAATAGACTTGTGCTTTGTTCATTGAATAGGAAGAAAGGCAACATGAGAATAAAATTCTATAGATCTTAAGACATTTTATTTTATACAGACAGCAGGTCACTATGTGACGCCCGGGAATGCACACAATACGAGAGTGAAGGAAAACTTAGAACGGAAAGAATTCAAACTCACAGATTTCTTTTTTTCTTGTCTCAATAGCTGTATTTCTAAGAACTTATTAATTTAGGTAAGGTTAATTAATTCGATGACATATCTTTGTTCGGTTATTTTATATCAAATATAGGTTGACCAGGAAAAGAGAATTTGTATTGTTCTTACGGTTTATCAACCCTTCGTGGGTTATTTAAAGCCCAAACATATTTCGGATTGTAGGAGGTTGCTTACAGTAGCCGGTGTTCCCAAACGGCCCACCAGCTAAGTACTGACCGCGTTCGACGTTGCTTAACTTCAGTGATTGAATGAGAACCGGTGTTTCGTCGTGATTTGACCGCAGGCGGTTCATAGTGAAAGAAGCACAATGAATTATTAGTTATTCCTAAAGGTAGACATTGGTCAGGTGTATACTTGAGTCAAAGATAATCATTGACCGGGTTTATACTTTAGTCAAAACGTAGCTCAGATGTGGCACAAGGTCGTAAGTATGAGGCACCCAGTGAGGATCGAACTCACTACTCAGTCGTAAATTGTTCTCGCAAGACAAGCTTGCTAACAATTACACCACCACGAGGTGCCCAACTGGAAGTTTACCCCTGTAGTAGGGGTCTGCTTTAAGTCCCATGTGCCCCCAAGCAGTGCCCCATCTATGTACTGAACTGGCTCTACAATGCAACTTCGGTTATCGAACGAGAACCGTGTTTACATCGTGATTTGACCGTACGCGGTTTACCGTGGTAAAATCACAGTGAATTATTAGTTACTCCTAAAGATAGACATTTGTCAGGTGTAGACTTGAGTCAAAAGGTAATCATTGGCCGGGTTTATACTTTAGTCAAAACGTATATATTAGTCGAGTCGGTACTTGTGATTGTAAGCATCAATCTATAAGGTGACCTCACGTCTGTAGGGATTATTGTCAGCGTATACTATGACCTACCGATTGAGCAACTTTATTAAGTATCTATAAATGTTTCAATAATCCTTCTCTGTAAATGTTTCTATACATTAGTTGATATTCGTAGGAAGAAACCAATAAAGACACATAAAAGAAGCATTCTGTGAAGGTCGAATTTAAATGCTAATGATAATAGCATTATAAATATTACTCTACAGACGATTTGTTAATCTTGCTTGATCCGATAAGATTACAAAATCCGGTCACTACTTTAGCAATTAGCATAGCTGGACACTCCTATTCGAGGATAACCGTTTACTAGGGCGGCTAGCCAATCCCTATTGCAGATGCTTGCAATTTATTTTGTGTTTATTCAGCACCAACAGAGTCTACCTATGGTTTAGACTGCAACTGACAGAGTTTATCTAGCGTGATCAAAAATTTGAAGAAGGTCAGCACCTTGAAGCTCTCGATGACGTGATTCGTGCTAGCATAACTACCGGCGTCCCCTAAGTGTTCTATGAACCCAATTTCACTCACAAGGATTGGGTCAACCTGTAGTATGGTTTTCAGACACTTTGCAAAGGTGATGCATGACCCCTCCTTCCTGACAAATCGAGTGAGATTCGAACTCACGTCTCGTGGTCATAAAACGAACGTTCTAACCATTCGGCCACGTGCTCATATCTGCTTTAACAATTACGGATTTCTTAAAACGCATGATTTTGCACAACCGAAAGTTGAAAACATAAAAAAAAATTGGATTCTAAAACACCAGTCAAATAATTTTAAGTACTGTATATATATTATACCTCTTGATACCTTGGAAAGCAAAGGGCCGAAAAAAAAAAAAAACCTTTCCAAAGGACGCGGTTGCGTGCGATCCTCTTCAGCTCGGCCCATTTCGTGCCAGCTGTCTTCACCTATGCACCGACATTTCTACACCACGTCTGTTTTGGTCGACCCACTTTTCGCTTCCCTTGTAGATTCCAGTCAAGGGTCTGCCTGGGGACACTTAATGTCATTCTCGATTGGAACTTGTCTGGTCCTGTCTATATTTCTGAGATGAGGTATTATGTACATTATTTACATTATTCGGACTATTGTCCTCATCTTTGTTGCCATATTTATCCGATCCTTCAGTATCTGTCTATATTTATGAGATGAGGTATAATGTGCACTATTTACATTATTCGGACTATTGTCCTCATCTTTGTCGCCATATTTATTACAACATTTCGGCCGTTGTACGCTCCGGCCTTCTTCAGGTGGTTGGAATGTCGAACTGAACCCTTTATTTCGCTCACTGGGGTAGACTTTTCTAGTTCCACGTGCCATGTTTTGATGGATGTCAGTTATCAGTTATCTCCTGTTAATTTCCCTCTGAAAGTTCTCCACTGCCTTAACCGAATAATGTAAATAATTATCTGGTTCTGTTCCGCAGTTGGTCGTTGGAGACGACTTCCGGCCACCTGATATTGAGGATGTTCCTGAGACATCAGTTGGTAAAATGTCTGAAGTTTGTAGGCGTTGGTCTTGGTTAACCTCCAGGTTTCTGAGCCTTAAAGTACGACCGACCTGACGCTGGTGTTGAAGATCCGGATCTTGCTGCAAAGTGAGAGGGCTGTTGATCCCCAGTACTGTCCCATTGCCAAATGTAATCGATCGAGATCTGGTATCTCTACTTCAGTCACATTCTCACCGACATGACCGGACTTCCCTCTTTCTTTTCTACAAATATTTCCATGGAAACTATTCTGATGAGATTTTTCCCAAGTGCTCCGACTACATGAATTTAAGCCTGCTACCCGATTGTCAAGTAGGTTTCACCGTTTTAATATGGAGCAAGCTAGATTCAACTGCCACTTCTATTTTAACAGCTTCTTTTCTCGCACTTCTCGCCCGTGGAACACTTTTCTGATTTATTGATTCTCTGTCACTTACAGTCTCCAAAAATGTAAATGCAACGTCAATCGCCATCTTATGTCTTCCTGGATCCTGTTCTTTTATTTTCCTTTCACCTCACTTCTCACAAAATTGTTCTCATTGTCTTTCACTCTCTGTAACTCCCCTGCGTCATAATTACATTATCGCCTTATTTGGACTTAAAATGATTAAAAAAAAGAATCGTAATCTGACAATCCTAAATATGTAGATGAGATCAAATAAATATATGTAATTTATCCTATTTGTAATAATTATCCTTTTAACGTAAATGGCTGTTTTATCCATTATTATTTATGACATTCAATAAATATCGACATTGCCCGTCCACCAAAATGGTAGTAAGTGTCTAATGGTATACCGACACTTAAATTCTTGATTAGTTTACTTTGATGAACATCCATTTCGTAATGCTATCGAATTCTCCCTGCAATGGAAATCAGGGTATTGTCAAGGTATTCCCTCACTACCAATGTTAGCCTTTATTGGCTGAAATAGAATTTGATTTATCCCATGTCCAGATAGCTTAATAATAGCAACTAATTCATAATACGTGGCGCGGCTTAACTGAATTTAATTGAAACATGGTGTCTATTCAATTTAACACTCAGTCGATCTCTTCTGAATTTCACTCACTTCCAATTCTCTGTTGTTGATTGATCTGATTAATTAAACTCTGTTCCATTTGTCATGTAAATGACATCAATGTATTAGACAAATTTGAGACAGTCTTCAGAATGAGAACCCTAAAATATTTTAAAGTTCCATCTTTGCTATTTTCAATTTAAAAAAAAATAGGAATACTTTACTAAAATATGTTTATTAATTCTCGACAATTTTTTTCGATTTTACTGTTGGCTAAAAAAACGCGTTTTCGGATTTTACAATAGACATAAAAACGTTTTACTTTCCAACAACAAAAAGATAAATCAACCTTCAGTTAATGGGTCATTACTGATCTCAGAAAAACTACAAAAATTTACGCTCTATTCTGTCAATAACGCTTGCTTTAATTTCTACAGTAAAATAATTCATGATACATTTTGTTTATAGAAATAAAATCATCAGCAGTGCATTTATAATATACACTCTTTTTTATTAATGCTCAGTTTATTTCCTGATTACCAACAATGCTTTTTTTTTCTAATTTTCAATGAACTTCTATTGTAAAGTAATTATAAATTTATCAACATTATATTCATAACATATACTTATATTAGGCATATAACTGCTTTATTCAGTCATAAATTCATACCTTAATTCCTGAACATTGACAATACCTTTTTCCGTGATTTTCAAGGCACCTTTATTGTAAAATATTGACAATGTAATGACATTATGCAAACTTGAGAGAATATTGAACCTCAAACTCACACCCGGCCTCAAGTGGAAACTTTATATACGACCCATCGGTAAAGATGAAGGTAAAACGATCGGCTCCATGTACTCCTCAAGTAATTAACTGACTCCCCATGCTACCCTCTACTTTTACGGGGTATATTTTCTGATAGTAATTACGGGGTATATATTTTCTGATAGTACTAGTACTATATTTTCTGATAGTAATTACGGGGTATATATTTTCTGATAGTACTAGTACTATATTTTCTGATAGTAATGATAAGAAAGTCAACTCAATATTTATTAGTGCTTGGCTTTTTAAATGTATCACAGATTCACTTCAATCAGTATCAAGCGGATCGATTCATTCTTAAAAGCCCGAGACACACAGACGATACTACAGAGTGCAACCCACGTGACTCAGATGATTCTAATTTATGCATGGGTGTGTTCGCTAATTCCTTCTCCATACTAAAATGACTAAGAAAACATTTACTCAAACTTCCAAATATTAATTCAGTGGTTATGTTCTAAGAGTTTAATTGTATGACGAGAAGAAAGAGAGAAGCCTATACAAAATAGATTACAAAACAAAATCACGTAACTATTGCATATTATACGGAAAACTATATCGGGTCTTTATACTTACACAAAAAGTGTATTCCCTGCCTTTATTGCTTAAAGCAAATGAAACTATATCAGCTTCCTGGGTAAGGCGATAAACTACATCCGACGGCAAGGCCTCTGATCAGGAGGTTTTGAGGAACGTGGAACCACCTCTTAATTGCTCTTAGTTCCTATGTTTACCCTGACCCGGAATGGTAAAACTTGTTAATAATCCGACTATGGGCACATAGTTAAACCCCGAACCTGGGGCCCAAACACTATGAAAGTGTAAAAATAGGTTTTAATACTAGCAATACATTTCTGTAAAAAATTATTAACAGCAATAAATTTTTTGAAGAAAAATCATTACCAAATACATTATTACCAACAATACATTTTAGACGTACTGGGTAAGGGTAGAAAGAGGTTTTAATAACAGCAATAAATTTTTTGAAGAAAAATTATTACCAATTATTATTGAAGAAAATAGAAATTACCAGCGATACATTTTTTAGGAAAATATATTAAATGCAATATATATTTCTAAATAA